AAAGGTTTCTGCCATCTGTACTGCATCTTGAGGATATTTCCCGCACGATTAAAATCATAACAGTACTGGGTTTGGTCTACAGGAGTTTGTGTTTCGTACAGGTCATTCCATTCATAGAAAAAGACTTTATATTGGAGAAAGCGTACCTGTCGTTAGCCATAGTAGCCTAGGGGGTTAAAAAAGTTTTAACCCCCTTGTCATGTGTGCTCATTTAGAACAAAAAACCCCCTTCACTTGCTCTTTTCTTATACCGTCTAGCTTAATTTCAAAATACTGTACCCCCTATAAAAAGGGGTATGTGGTCATTTAATAAAGGGCGTGGTCATTTTCGGGCTGTTTGTCCCAGATAGAGATTTTGGCACACATCCCATGTTATTCCTAGGGTTCATATTAGTCTATAACAGTTGAGAAATTCTCTCCTAAATGAAGTGCATACAAATCTTAGTCAGGTCCTAGACTAATATAGCCTAGGGCCTACTGTATAATAAAAATTTCATAGAAAATCAAAATTTATTTTATCACGTAAAATTAACAATTACGCATATATAAGTACAGGTACAGTACCACGATACATAGACATTTTTTGCAATTTTAAAGACCAAAAGTACAATTTTAGACAATTCAAGAGGGTCTCAGTGTAAAATGTTAAATCCCAGCAGCTGAGTTGAACAATTTTATTTACTGTATATTTAGATCATTTCCCCACGTCGTAAGGACACAAAATCGTGAATGAATTGTACGTTGTGAATTGAAGTTGCACTTTCCACGTTTATAAAAATTGTTCATATTCAATTTGTTACTTTTATCCGTGCTTTTGATTTGTCTCCTTTTGATTATGTTTGAAGGTTTTTTTAAATTTCCATTGACGCTCTGTTATGTACGTGTGCCGCTGGTGTAAAGGTGTTGATTTAAATAAAGAATATATATGTATATTTAGTGTTATTGTGTTTGTCTTTACAAAAAAAAAGCTTTATAATGCAGCCAAAGTTGGATAGCACAGCTTTGAAGGTCCGAAGCCCTCAAATGCAGACGGAAAATCTTCATCTTTATTATTACTATCATTCTCATCGATATCACCATTATTTAATTTATTATCTTCATTAGTGTTTTTATTATTATATTAATATTTTTACAGCAACTGAAAGATAAATTAAATGATGATGATGATGATGATGATGGTAATAATAATAGTAATATATTGACATGACAATGAAACAATGATTTATAGTGAACTGAGTATTGTTATCTGAGCTTCAAATATATAGTGCAAGTCCAAGTATTGTGATAATAATGAATGCGTTCCAGAACTAGTTTAGTAGAAAAGCACGAATATTATTATAACACGGTATTAATTTAACACGGTATGCTGAAAAATAAGAAGCAAGTAAGAGACCTGTGAAGTGTGAAAAATCAATAAAAACCTCCAGAAAAGAAATAAGGAGAAAACAGAGAAACAAACATACTCCAATTATGCAAAACACAAAATACCTAATCGGATTGACAGTGTAATATCATTTTTTATTCCATAATTACTTAAAAACAAAACGTATCGCTTATCCAACGTTGCCATAATGGGGGTGGGGGCAGCGTTATTACCAGACCAACTGTCCGCAAGACATTTCTGAAGGGGATTAGCCTGGATGAAAGTTCCTGACTTCTTACCAGAACACAGTCTTGTCCTTCGATTGTGTTTTTAATCAGACATGTACGCAAGTAGAACCAAAATGGGTATAGTAGCGCACATTGATAAACTGCACATCACTGATTTCAATTGTATCCTGATATTTATCCTTGTGCGCAACTAGAACCAAAATGGGTATAGTAGCGCACAGTAAACAATTGATTTCCTAAGTTACTAGAAATCGTATGTGATTCTGGCAACCATTTCATTTACAAGATGGCCGAGAAACGATCGGATGGGAGCCACTCGAGAGGGGAACCAGTCAATTCGATCGGATGCTACTTCAAGCGAAGGCCAATTCGAGCGGATTCAAGCGGAATTTTTTTCGAGCGGATGCTAGTTCGAGCGGAAGAAGATCCACTTGTGGGAACAACAACCTGTGCGAGTTATATACGAATTACTTCAAAATTTCCTATTTTTGAGCTAAAAATTTGACATTTGAGGCATGTTGTGGCAAAATGGCTAAGTTGTAGCAAAATTTGAAACTTAAGTTATTGGTATTTTCATATACCTGAGTATGTTATCTTTAAAATGAGGGGTCATTCATTAAAATTGGACTTTTCAAGCCTAAGTTATTGAGTCAAGATAAACATGATTTTGAGTAATTGCCTTCCAAAGTTATTTGTTCATACATTGTTTAATAGAATTAACTATCTAAATAACATTAAATAAAACAATTTGTTGACCACTTCCAGAACTACTGTAATACTTTGGGACATGATTAATAAGACATTAAACTGTTGATCTATAGTGAAAACAAAATTTGGATTTTTAGGCAATTTTTTGAGCTCCCATAGTTTATAGCTCATTTACTCAATACTGGCCTGTGCGACAACTTAACCATTTCGCCAGGACATGCCTCATTTTCAAAGGGGAAGGGGGCACACAACAGTTCCAGAATAAATAAGTGAGTAGCATAACTCAATTACAAATATAATTTTGAAAAAAGCTAAAAAGTGCGCAATTCTATTATAGTTTTAACTTGTTAGCGGCCATCTTGATAGTCTGAGTTGCCAGGACTGTAATTCAAACATGGAGTAATTATCAAAAAGTACTAAAAACCTTTGAGAACCTTAGTAATCAGATCATTTTTTTTGCATTTAAACAAATACAAGAATACGGTGACGATAAATTCGCCCTTGTTATAGTTCGCACTAAATGCATCCGCTCGAACTGGCATCTGCTTGAATTGACTGGCATCCCTCGAGAGAGCTGAAGTAAAACCGAATTTTTCTAAATAATACAAGCTGGAATTGTCATATAATAGTGTAAATCGTGTAAGTAAAGGCATGTTTTGCATAATACATGAATATTTAAGGAATTACAACTTGGAAGTTTGATTTTGAGGATGAGGTGAACTTATGCATTAGCGCCGCCTATCCCCTACATAGGCTAGTCTTCTTGCTGGCTACAGAGTAGGTAGCTAAGGACTGTACTGCTTTTAAGCCCTTCGGAGACATTGTTAGGCCTAGGCCTATCTCTCTCTCTCCAGCTAGCTAGGCCTAGTCTAGCGTAGACTAGGCTAGCTAGCCGCGGCATATGACCAGTTGAGCCGCCGACAAGTTGAGCCGCCGGTCATTTCTATTTTGTTAAATTATTTAATTAAATTATTTATTATATATAAGTATAACAAATAGTACAAAAATAAAAATATATAAATTACAAAACCATAGTAATTACTGTATAATAACATAGGCATAACACATTTAAATTTATTGTTTATAGTCATCTGTCTATTTAAAATCAAATTGGTTTTACTAATTTTACTTATTACTGTTTTATTAATGCTCTATTAATTATTTTCGTTTTATCTTCCATGGTTAATTTGCTCAGTCGGCTTGCCGATGTCATCAGTGAATGAACCCCCCACCCCCCGGATACCACTACATATTCATCCAACAGTCTTGTCAGTCGTTGATTTGCTCGTATTGCGGTTCGTGATGTATAAGTTGTGTAATTTAAAATTAGAATTTTGATTATTTTATGTACTACATTTTTATAAAAATAAATGAAGTTGTACATTATTGCAAAATCGTGTTAAAAATATAATAACTTGATCATTTTTAATGTGTTTATTTACGTTTGGTTTCCGTTTTAACATACTGTAATGTGTTTGTTACGTTTGGTTTTCGTTTTTCGGAAACATTTATAAAAATGTATAAGTTGTGTAATTGGAAAATGATGTGCAAGTTGTATTGAATTGATGATTAAATTTATATTAAATTTACATTTCATGATTTCTGAAAAGGAAAAAAATAGTAGTAGTACAAATAACGAATAGGTTAAAGCCCCATTCCCGACAAAATTTCAGTTTTTAAGAAAAATCTAATTTTTGTATAATGTTACAAGATTTATAAATATAATACGGAATTGCTAGTTTAACTGAATTTAGACATTCCTAAGAATGAAAAAAATGTAAAATAAGACTGAAATTTGATTTTTTGTGTTCCACACGAAAAATAAATGCGATTTTGCGATAGGTCGTGCATCAGCCTAGGCTGTATTTCTCATTTTTTTTATTCTTTTGCGTAAAACTAAAATTCATGCCAATATTTTTCCATGATTTATAATAATTGGAGTAATGCAAATGCATATTTTCTAAAAAAAGTCAGTTTTTAGTGAAATTTTGCCGGGAATGGGGCTTTAATTAAAATACGCCGCAATTAACGCGCTACATTCACTGAGAGACGCGCTTGGCGTTTCATAGAAATGACAGGCGGCTCATCTTGTCGGCATAGGCCTAATCCCTAGGGCTAGGCCTAGGCTATAATAATTTATTTTTCACAGATATTCTTCCATTATTTATTATTTTCAACGATAAGCTGACTTTCTTACCTCCTTGCGTCCTTCGGAAATCTAAAGAATGACAAACCGGGGCAATATTTTGCCGATTTCAGCAATTAATTGCTGAAAATGACTGTCCTACATAACGATAGCCGCCTATTTACATGCACTTCCGTATGGAACGCCGTTACTGCCTTTGGTGGTTCTTTTTCGTTCGGCGCATTTGCTATTCGGCCCTTTTAACATTACGTTCGGTGTAAATTACATTACGTTCGGTGCTTTTTACATTACGTTCGGTGCTTTTTACATTACGTTCGGTGGTTTTCATGACCTTTGACATCGGGTCAAGTGGAAAAAATTAACGGCTGTGGGAACGAGCCTAGTGGAACTTGCGCGCTCCTTCTCTCTTTCTTCGTGCCGTCGATCGAAGCGATGAAAGACAATTAATTGCTGAAAATGACTGTCCTACATAACGAGACTAGTGGAACTTGCGCGCTCCTTCTCTCTTTCTTCGTGCCGTCGATCGAAGCGAGGAAAGACAATGGCCAAGTCTATTAGTATTGAAGATGCCTTGAAAAAAGTAGACTTGATTCACCTTCTTTCGAATTTTGAAAGAGAAAAGGTAAACTTTTATGCCTAGCTAGGCCCTAGCCCTATGCTTGAGTACATGGCCCTAGGCATAGTAGCTAGTAGGCATGCCTATGATGCCTAGGCCTACCTAGGCTTGGCCCTAGGCCTATATATTAATATCATTGTCTTTTCTATTACTAAATTAGATATGAAGCAGTGTGTGTGGCGGGGGGAGGGGATAATTTTCTTGTCCTCCCAGTTTAGGCTACGTACAGCCTAGGCAAGACCTAGCTAGACTCGATAGACTAGATCTAGATTCCTCCTAGTCTAGGAGGGTAGGCAGGCTAAATAATATCATAGGCTAGGAGGGTCTAATAGATGCACATTAAATATTCGCAGGCTTCCCAATTTATAAAAATAAAATAATGTAAAGGCCCTAAATGAATAAATATAAATAAATAAAAGTAATACAAATTCGCTAGGCCTAGGGCCTATGTAGTAGTAGGCCTAGGCTAGGGGGCCCTTGCCTGTTTTAATATAAAAATTGAAGTAATTGATTAACAATCAAAATAATAAAAGTTATAATTAAAGAGCTATAAAGTAACAGAAATATAACAAGAATAAAATAGTTCTGGTATGTGTTTTAGGCCCTAATCAGTATTCACACATTGCTATTAGGCCTAGTGTCAGTGAGTCTTAAATTTGAGATTTTGCAAGAATTGTTTTTTTCCAAAATAGTATAAATAAGTACACATAAAAATAAATTTAACAAGTAAATAGACAAATATAGATAAATAATTAGATAAATGTAAATATAATAAATTCATTTTGATAAATAGAAACAAATAAGAAAATAAATAAGAAAAATGAATACAAGGACTAATTTATTTAAGAAAAAATAAGTATAAATTGATAGTTACTTTTTCTATACAATTATATATTCATTATATGTCAATCAATATATGTATAAAAAATGATCAAATTAATGAGATTTAAATATAAATTGAATTGATTGATTAACAAAATATGTTATTTTAAAAAGCTAAATTATAAAACATAGAAACAGAATAAAACAGTAGGCCTATGTTTTATGCTATAACTAGAGTGCCAAAATAGCAGTAACACCATACAATTTTGTTGTGATGTATAAATATATTGTGGTGTTATTTTTTTTCAGATTACAACAAAAGAAGTTCAGGGCCTTACTGATCCACAACTAAGTGCCCTCGGTGTCAGCACAATTGGTGACCGGCACCGGTTGAGAAACAGCTGCAAACAAACAGGTACTGTATACCTATAGGCCTACTGTAAAAACTATTTTTATTATATATTTTCAGGACTAGGCTGGAGCTTATTCTCAATGAGTTTATCTTTTATCTAGCAAACTGAGTGCAATACTCTTCATGATGGACACAAGTTCAGTAATGGATAAAATTTGCTAATATGAAATTCATTTATATTTGAAAGTCACAAGACTGGAAATGTGACCCATTACACTTGAAAGCACTGTTGAAATTATATACACTCCAATGTAAATTTAGGTAGTACCACTCTCTTTTATTTATTATCAAAAAGTACCACTTCCCCAGTAAAAAATCCTTCACTTTAATTTTTTTTCTGTTCTCTTGTAAGCGTAAACCACTGAAGGTGATGCCTGAAAGTGCTGAGAATAAGTGTATGAACTATTGAGATTTTAAGAGTATTACAATACTGTACTGCCAAAAACCCGGCCATAACTCTTTAGCATTTCACAATAAATTTGCTGGAACTCCATTATTGACTACGGTATGAATTATAAGGATGATAACAACTATAAAATGATGGTAAATGATAATAATAATAATGTTTGGTTTGATAATTATTTCCTAACCATGGCAGTGCAGAAACTGCTATTTCTTCCCTCTTTTACATGCTACTTCATGGTATGGTCTGCAGTCTGAGTCTCAAACTCCTAATATCACTTTCAAGAATCCCATCTGCAAATACTGCCCTGACCCCACAATAACACTTTTAAATGTTGTTTTTATACAGTAATATAAATAGCAAAATTAATGTATCAGTGTTGGAACTGATTATGGAGTACTTTATCAACACTGTGAGGAGATTGTTAACAGAATACTTTATTTTGTGTTTTACAGCTTGTGTGTTTCACCGGTTCATGCCTGCAAAACAAAGTCCATACCCCCAAAAAAAGGGAAAGTCCAAAACCCAAAGTTGGACTAGGAAAATGGTTTGCTTATCCAGACCTGATGCTGATACAACCCCTAGGTCGGAAGAAAAGCAGCTATTAATTGATGTCGGGCTAGGTGAGAAAACGGTATTTATACCAGATATCAATATAAGTCCGGAGCAGTTCTGTCAAGTACTATATACCTACTTCGCTAAGCTTCAAGACGCTGGAGGTTTTGAGTTGCTAACATGTATTGGAAGTGAGAGGAAGTTGGTTACCATAAGAGGGAAGTATACTCCACAAAACATAAAGGACAGGCTGGACCAAGGCCGTATTTATATACGGCCTATACAAAACAGCTTAAATTTAGACCCAGTGGATGTAAGTAGTACTGTATTTATTGAATATTTATTCTTTTTTAAATATGAGAAATATTTTATAAATTTAAACTTAATCATTTTTTACCACTATGCTTTCCATTGAAATAATTTGCACAGTTAAAAAAACAACATTTCAGAAAGAGATATACAGTAAATCTAATTTATCACAATTACTTTAAGACTAATATGGCTTATTGGTTATTATTCTTCCTCCATGGTTTATCCTAGTAACATATTATTATATTATTACATGTTATTTTTTTTGTTTTTTTGACTTGGTTGTATAGAGTATATTTTTATAGTTATTTGTAAATTTAATATGATGTCATACCCATCTTTAAGTTTCGTCTAGTTATAATAATTAGGTACAAACTAATTTTTTACATTATTATTTTTTTTTTTAGAGTGGTGTAGACGTGGACTCAGGGCTAATGCAGAAGTGTTCAAAGTGTCAAAAAGAATTCCCATTCAATATCTTGAAGAAACACATAGAAAGATGTAGCAGGTGAGCTTTTCATTTTTTTTATTACATTGTATACTTTTTATTTATGTTTTTGAAACATAAAATGCTGTAATTAATTCTAAATAATTATAAATGATGTTAAAAAAACAAAAAAACACCAGCTTTTTTATAACACATTATGTCTGGTGGGGTGTATGACATAGTCTATAAATGTTTTAAATGCTACTGTATTTTATTTAGGATGGAACTGATGACCTGTATGATCCAGACTTGACGCATAAGCCTCGTGCACCTAATGATATGCAAGTAAGTAGAACTTATTAGATTGATACTAGTGCTGATTTATAGTATTTTTGTCCAAGCTATTGGTCTGGAGGTCTAAGCTTGAATCCCATGCCATGGGCACAGATCATCATGGGGGTGGGGGGTGGAAAAGGGGACATGTCCCCCACATATTTTTAAGGGGGTTGTTCCCCTCACTTTTAATACATAATGTAAATTCATAAGTCAAGATAAGGATAATTTTGAAGTGCATCGCTCGCCAAACAATGGTTTCTGACCGAGTTAGTCCCTAATGAGATTTTTTTTTTTAATAGGGTCCTATGCATTGTTTTGAAATATACTTCTAAATGTAAAGTTGATTAAATACAATGTAACTACACTATCAAAATAATTTATTTATTTGGCAAAATGTGTACACATTTTTATTATCTTTTCAAACACAGTCAACTCCTTTGGCTTCTTATAGTTTGTCTGGTGTTCCCTCTAAAACAGTAATTCAGAGAGCCATCTTAATGAGTGCGTCATCTATTATTCCATGTAGTTTTCATAATGTCATATTGTAGAACGCTTATTTCATTTTTTTTTAATCCAAGCTTTAGTTAAATCTGTATAGAATGATCAGGACTTCTCATTAGAACCTCTTTCTACATGATCTAGGGCATTTATTTCAATACAGTATAAATGATGATTAAACAAACTGATGCAATTATATTAATAATTAAATATAATTGCTTCTTTTTATGTACACAGCATAATTCTTATTTTTAAAAAAATTATTGTTTCTTCCACTAAAGGAAATGATGGTGTTGTAAACAGAAAGTTATACTCTTTTTATACTCCAGTGCCTTATTTTTCACTATTCCAATATCTAATTTGGTTGATGACTGTTTTTGCTTAATTTGAACTAAATAATTTTCGATCTTATTTTTTTGTAAACTTTGTAAAGAACCTCATATGAACAAACCCAGCAATGGAATCAACTGTAAAAAACTAGATACTAAAATGGTAAAACAAATATAGGTAGTAATCCTGATTTTGTTTTTTAACTAACCAATGCCATAGCCAGGATTTTCAAACAGTGGGGCAATATCGGGGTGGACTCACTTTACTATTAAATTCAAACAATGTGGACCCATTTTCGTAAAAGTTAATCCGTTTTATACACAGAAATATCTGGACCCATTTCATTAAAAACTTTCCCATTTTTGGCTGAATATGAGAAATATGGACCCATTTTTCAAAAAGTGGACCCATTTTATGCATAAAATTGCAAAATTTGGACCATTTTTTAAAATGTGGACACATTTGTGGACCAATTAGAAAAATTTTGTCGTGCTGTCTGAAATGTTACAATAGCTGGCTATGGCCATTGTAAGAAACACTGACTATTTTCATAAATTTACCGTCTCTGACACTGATTCTTGGTATCTTACTTGTCCTTTCATAACCCTAGATGTCGAGATATTAAGACAGTACAGATTCATTAAACATTAATTACATAAATTGAAAGACATTAACCCCTGATTCTTCTTTTGCATTATTTTGATGATTGTTCATTCACAGTATTCATTAGCATATATTTATATATTTTTATTATATTTTAAAAACTTAGGACACAGGCAGAGATACAGCAGTTTGTTGAAGGGCTTGGTGCCCTATGGACCATAGTTAAAGACTTCCTGGATACTTTGATGCCCTTACTGACTTCAGTGGGAAAGAAACCGATGTCAAGTGATGTTTTGAAAAGCATCATGAAGGTTAGGTATTCTGAAGAAGGATCCAATTTGAGATTAATGGAGGATGACACCATTTTTTGCTGGGAGATTTTTCTCAAGGACTGTGAAGGTAATTTTTTTTAATAGGCTTACTGTACCAAATGTTACCTGCACACAACCAACAGTTTTCTTTTCCCAAAAGAGTGGCTCCAGGACATTCAATTGCCTCCCTCCACCTGTCGCCAGGTCATGCATTTTTTCAAGATGCCTCTGCCCAGCACTGTTGGTGGAGGTAATTTAAGTAAATGCTGTGAATTGTTATTAATGCAAAATTGAACAAATGTTATCTCCATTTTAGATGGCAAGACAAAAACTTCCCTTAATGACATCCTGGCATTCATCAGTGGAACTGATGTCATCCCACCAATGGGATTTGAAGACAGCATCGATGTCGAATTTTTTACACCAAATCCGGATGCTAGAGCCTATCCCACAGCATCAACATGTGCTCTAGAACTGCACATGCCACGTGGGATAGAGGATCCAGTAGATTTCAGAAATTTGTTTGAAGAAGCCATCCTTAATGGCAAAGGCTTTGGTAAAATTCAAATACTGATACTACTATGTGGTCCCTCAATGTTGTGCAGTATTTGTGGCAAAGACAAGCCAAACCAGTCACTCATGTTCCTGTCTCTTATACACATCTAGATGTGTATAAGAGACAGGTCATACTCAGGAAATGTCTGATTTCAATTATTCTCTCATTTTACTGTTTAACCCTGTATTAATAACTTAAAATCCATTTTTGCGACAAATGACTGGTTTGGCTGTCTTTTCCACTTTTAGGGTTCAATTTTAATAGGTTTTATTCACAAAATGTTCTCTTCACAATGAATATAAACAAACCTATTTAATTTTATTGTTATATTGCAAAAAAAATACTCCAGTTAATTACTTACAGGATGCCATCAACGTATTGGTTGTTTAAACTTATCCAAGTAAAAATGGTGCATACATGACGATCGAGACACGATTTAAGAACAATTAACATCATGAGTAACTTGAGACACAACAATTTCAATTAAGATTCAACCATGTACTGTGAATATTACCTGATTGCTCTTGATTCATATCCAGAATCAAGGCTATACAGAATCCAGAAAGACAGGGCTGCAGTGCCAGTTCTGGTTTAGTAGTAGGTACAGGCCAAAAAAAATAAATTGTTTGTTTGCCCTTCTTTTTTTTAAAATGATAAATAGGGGCGGGTAGAAAAAGTTTTTTTTATTTACTTTTACTTTTTTTAAATACTCATCAGATGGAATAAATATAACCCACAGAAGCCTAGAATGGTAATATCTTACATCAGACAAACCTTAGACAAATTTGAAGGGCATCTGGCAAAAAATAAAGATAAATTTAGTCAAATTTTTTTTTTATTTGTAAAAAAATGCTAAATTTTTAAAAAGTTTTTTTTTTGTTTTTCCGCCACCTTTTTTTTCAGTGAGTTAGGGGTAGGCGGGGAGGGCAAACAAACATATTTTTTTTTTTTTGGCATAATTACACTACCCATATGACTATTACATAGCCGACACAGAATCAGAATTTAAAATTTTAAGACAAGACTTATGTAGGCCTATGATCTGAAGTCATCACTGTATCATCTGTTCCACATGAATAAATTCATAAATTGAATCTTTAGCCATATATAATCTGTACCGCATGTCACTGCGTGGGAAGTATCACTTTCACATCACACAACACAATATAGTACCATAACACTATAGTAAAGGTACATTAAAAAAGTTCTACGAAAGATAGTTCATAATAAACTGAACAACATCTAAGTACACGTCAACACCAAGTTCGGAACTACTTCGCATTGGGTCTATTTCCTCACTGAGCTGCTGGTGAGCATCCTCTACCATTTCGTGGCTTTCGTGGGATTTCGTGGCTCTTGCACACACACCTGAGATATTTCATTGTCGTATTCTTCATCATCACTTCCAGAATGATGCAAGTCTAATTCATGCTAATAGAAGGTGAAAGTCAAGACAAATTAGCATTATATATAATTTTTATACTTGCAACGATAAAAAGCAATTGTTTATATAGTCACAGTTTTTACACTAGACAATACGATAACGATTTATCGTGTAAACGGTACAAAAATATTTTGTAAAATCAATTCAATTGATGTCATAATCATGGAAGAACGATGGACTCGTAGTACCTGTAACGAGTCGATGTTATCGCCATTTCAATTGATTGCTCAAACTATTTTTTATTGTATACCGTTAATTCTCGGATAATCGCCGCTCTTGAGTAGGCACTGCATCAAACCTGATTTTGTAGCCAATAAGCGACGAGTGATAGGTAACATGGAAACATGCATGGAAAGCACCACGGCAATAATATGTTTTTATAAGTGCCTCATTGAAATCGCCAACAAATTATTTTCGAATAAGCGCTTTTTAGATTTTTATCGTTACCGCTGTCGTTGCAAGTATAAACAGCTCTTTACAATTCCTAATAAAAGAAATCACTTTGAATCAGCGGTGGTGCCATATTAAATTACTCGACGGGGTGAAGATGAGTCGTCGGAAAATTTCGCGAAAGTATTCCAGGCCCGAATAGGAGTTCCAAAATTATTTAATCGAGTTGAATTCTACTAATAAGCCTATGTTAAAACGCATGTACGGTCGCCCTTTAATTAAAGATAGGCAATTATAGACCACCTCCAATTAAATTCCACTGTGGTCCCAAATCATTGGCGATACAGTTAGGCCCAGCCGGCACCACACCCCCCTAAATTTGTCCAAAGTAAATTAAATAAAATGAGAAACAAAAAATAAAATAAATGAATTAAAGTTGAACTCAAATTTTCAGTATAAGAATGCCATTTATCTATTAGTCAGATCAAATCTGTTGAAGGCCATGAAAGTGACTGGTCCCACAAAAGTGATCTTTAATTGGAAGACCTATAGGCCTACCTTTTTTCTCACAACTGCTTTTAAATGCTTCATGAGATTTCACTTTTGTATTTAGGGAATGTGTATGTGTGAATACGGTCATTTTGATTTTCTGGAGATGAATAAGTTACATTTAAAAAAAAATAAATAAAAACACACTTTACAAGAACAATGAGGCTGAAATTGCTTAAAAATTAAGAACAAATTGAAGCTGAGGTAAAATGTCAAATGAGGTTTTTTATTTTAAAAAAATAGAAAAACCCAAAAATTATATCCCTACCTTATGTGCAGTAGGTGTGACTATGTTCTTCCATAATAAAGTACAGTAGGTGTACCTACCTGCCATCTGGGGCCAATTTTTGTGGGGCCTTTTTTCAGCTGCCATTTTTGCGGGGCCACTTTTACTACATTCTAGTACAATATACATGCCTACTGCTGTACCTATATAATTTTCTACGTTTGAAAAATGTGTAAAATTTTCACAAGATTCACAATACGCAGAGTACTGCCAACAGAACCCATTATGAGATCGGAAAGACGTAAAGTGTACAGTAGTCCTATTTCAGCCCTACAGCTGAAACACCAGGAGCCGGATGGAACGAATTGGGAACGAAGCTCAGAGTTCCTGAAATAACATTGAACAAACCTCTGGTATACCAACTGGGTTCTCCACTTGGCCATCATACCACAACTGGAACGGTGTTTTCCCAGCGGTACGAAGACGATGACCAGCCCATGCCGATGACCATTCTTCGAGCGACTGGTTGATCCGGGATGTATACACATACTGAAGGGCAAACAACTGTACCTCCTATAAAGGGTCTAATTTACCATCGTCCTCTAGGTAATGGAATAGTTGGTAGAAATGGTGCAAACATCCCTCAAAAACGTCTCGCCAAAGCCTTTCGATCCTTTGATTGTGAGTGCTCTTGCCTATTATTGAACTTCTCTCACCTGAGACATTAACGAAAACCAGGATATATAAAAGTTAGAGTTAGTGACATTGGGAATCATTTGAATAATACTGTATTTGACGATTTAAAAAAAAAAAAGAGAAAGAAAAGAAAAAAAAACACATAATCACACTGATATACCTCTGTGTTCATTCATGTACTGCCATACTTTAACATTCTCTCCACCAGCATCCGAACGCAAACGAAGGGGGAGACCATAACGTTCGACTGCACCATAAAATGCCTCCAAAACTGTTGACGCCTTGTTATTTGTTGCACATTTGAGAAACACTGGCAACCGACTAAAACCATCAACATCACCATGGATCACAAATCCCCATCTGAAAGCAAATGCAAAATACGGAATATTGTACGCCAATTTAACATAACCATCAACCCGCCACCTCTTGCATGTAATTCCACCAATGTTTTAATTTCACAGTGTTCTGTATTTTCCATTTATTCGAAAATATAAATTATTTTATGTCTATTATTCCAGACATACGTGGAACCTACAATAACT